ACTGAGGAAGTACGTGGCCAATTCCCTAATTTCAGCCTTGAGGACAAGGCTGTTTCTGTCCGGGCAGGAGTTGATAAAGACCAATTTATGAAAGTTTATTCTAGAAGGCTGAAACGGGCTGCGGCTGCTCCTACTGGACCCTAGGGCGTAGGCCCAATTATCCTTATTATTTAGTTAATGTAACTAGTTAAGTTAGTGGGCTCTTAAATGGGCTTTAGGGTTTAATTAATAATTATTAGGGTTTAGTATATATATTGGTGGGTAAGAGTTAGATGGGTATTCTGGAATATTGACGTTTGTGGCAGGCTATCTTGCCTGAGGACCCTTCGGGGTAGTACGTTCATTATCTATTGTTAATATTGCCCTTCACTCTATCACAATAATTCAGATATAACTTGTAAGAGAAACTATCCAGACAATTCAATCTGTACCAACCCAAAAAGGACAAACATCTGGATGCATCGATCAATAACCTAAGAAAACTGCATATAGCATTCAATCCATTTAAACAAATAACATTTTGAATGCAATAGATAAAAGTGGTGCTTAGAGTAAAACCACACTAGCCAGATACGAGTTTACAATTTTGTGCTTCACCTGCAGCATTAATGCAGCAGTTGCAGTAAAATCTTACTAGCTAGATCCTGATTTGTTAGTTTACATTTTTTTTCTTTCAAGTTTAGGACCTTCTCGAACAGTTTGGTATGCTGATCCAAAATGATAATTGAAGGAATAATCTAGTCTTTTTGGGGCAAATGGAACTCAACCCATTAAGAAGTTATAAGTGCTAGAAAATCAACTGGAAAACTTTAAGTTGATTTCAAAGTAACAATCAATCTCACTCTCTCAACGAGTTAGTATCACAAGCTCAAGAAAAGGGGGTTTGATGAATTTTTCTCACCAACACGCTTGAACGAAATCAAAGGCGCAAAAACAAAGACGGTCGTGAGGAGCAATATGGAAGATCGTGTGGTCCACCAGTGAAGACCAAACCATTCTTCCATCACACCAGTGTGGTGCACCCCTTGTGACCATGTTTCGGACAGCACATCACCTGTACGTATAGAATACATAAGAAACACACAGTACAATTAACCAATAACTTGAAATGCCAACCAGCAAAAACACAAATGCTAAATAACTACCACCACATTTCATCCATATCTTCAAATTACGGATACAATGAAAAAAAACAAAAAACAAAAAAATAAATAAAAAAAAAATGAAGTTTTCTTTGCATAGAAAGGGCAACACAACATAGCTTCAATAACCCACCAGACAAATGAAGATTCTTTACAACGAACGGCAAATTGAATCCACAACACCACTAATAATCAAATGTCGTTGTTTCCTCGAATCAATCCCAAACACACCCAAAATCGATCAATAACAAAAGTAACCTAAATCTAGATTTATATAACAAAGAAGGGGCCGGGAGCATAAAAACCAGACAGTTATCGAAATTACCTATAATAATCATGTAAACAACAAGCATGCCGACGTTATTTATCACGATACCCAGCTGCAGAAGGTTCCGGCCGGCGCCGGAGAACGCGTCCGCCGCCAAACCGGAGTAGGAACTGGTCTTTGCGGCCTTACTGAAGCGGAGAATCATCTCTATTGATTTCTCCGTCAGCATCCCGCCCAAAATGATCGTGATGAGCCCCGGAATCACCCCAAGCTGCTTGAGGGTCGCAGGTAGGGCCATTATTCCGGCACCGACGATGGTGGTGGATAGATTGAACACTGCGCCAGCGAAGGATGCCCCCCCGAACTCGCCGCCGCCGCCGCCGCCGCCGCTATGTTCCTTAGGGAGGAGTGGGGCCGCCTTCTGGCTCCGCCTGTATTTTCGATCGGAGAAGGGCATTTTTGTAATTATGAGCGGATCGGATTACGAGATGGGAGGCGTATCTTTGTTTACGCCGTTTGTGCAGACGTGTGTGCACTTTTATTTAGAGCTAGGCGGGAACCATACGGTGTTCCCCAATGATCCAGCCAATCACACCTCGACACGTAGAATTTATAACCGTTATATCATTATGTAATCGTAATATATATTTGATCTAACGATTACAAATACATAGAATCTCATTTTTTTCTAATATTATCTGTCGATTTGTTATTCTAATAAAATAATATTAATTAAAGCACATCTTATATTAAATATTCAAAAATGAGCTGCACGTTGGTGAATATAACTATTACCTAAACAAATCGTAACGTGCATCCAATGAAAAAGGTGAGTAAATCTGTAAATGTGAAGTACCATATTAATTTTTTCATAGAGTAGTATATAATAGACTTATATAGGGAAAGGAATTTTTTTTTTTTTTTATTATTCATATGCCGTGCTGACTCTAATTACATGCTATTATTATAATACAAATTTGCACTTTGCTCCCCCACAAAAACCATAAATACTTTTAGGGTTCAGTTAAATGGTAAATACAAAATGTATTACTATAGAAATTCAAATAATACAAAATTTAGTTTGGGATATATACATGTCTATATTCATGTTTATATTAAAACGATACTCGTGTACTACATAGATATTTATAAATATTAATATTTTTATGATAGAAAATTAAAGTAATTTATTTTTTTTCGGTGAAATTGTGTATATGAACATATACAACAATAATAAATAACTACCAAAATGTTAATCAATTCAAAATGGCGCCTGTATTTTTATACTATTTTTGTCAAAAATGAAGTTTTTAATTTCTTTTATCCACTAGATCATTCGATTTAGTGACTACAATTTATTCTCATTTCTTCCATAAAAAAATCTTATATTTTTATTATCTATATATGGTTCATTTTCTCTCTTTTAATGAAAATTTAATAGTGTTTGGCAACAATTTATTCATTTTTGTTCTGACCTTTTGTTGTGGTCCAGCAGTTATAGTGAAAGTACAGGCCCCTAGTTATCCTAAGGGCCATTATTATTGGCGTAAGTACATACCTACGAGACTATTTTATATGATTTACATATAGACGATCAAAAATTATTGATTCGCACAATCATCCACTTATGATCTTTCAATTCCACAATTGTCTTTCTCCGCAACTATAGTGACGTGGTGATGCTAAAGACGTCACTAAACTTTCTCAAAACATCACTTTTTGAAACAATTTTATTTCTATCCCATATATTTTTTATTTTAAATTAACCATCCGTTCTTCATTTTTCAATTGTTTATCTGTATTTTATCTTAAGTTTGTTACTTTGTTTTATAATTTAAACTAGCTTGGAACTTTTAGTTTTTCTGTAGCTTATCTTAAGTTTGTTACATTATTTTTAAAATTTATTAAACTAACTTGCAACTTTTGGTTTTTTTCTCAAGTTTATTATGTATTTTTTTTTTTTTTACTAAGTTACAGAAAACAATTTGACCCAAAAAAAAAAATTATACAAAATAAACTAAATATAATAGTTTATCTTAAGTTTATTATTAATTTTTTTGCAAAATCATGAAAAACAAATTAACAAAAAAACCAAAATAAAATTAAATATAAACTACAAATAAGAAAAAAAAGAACAATTAATAA